TCTCCCACCGTCTCCCACCGTCTCCTCCTCCCTCCATCCTCCCTCCTCCTCTTTCTCTTCCTCCTTGTCTCACCCTGGGCTTCCCAGACCTTCCTGTCCTGACTTACACCTTCCTGGCCTTGGTGGCCGCCCCTTGAGCGTCGTACCATCCATGGTAGATACAGCGCTTGGCACCTAATAGGCACTCATTACTTGTTTGCTAAACTCCATTCAGCTGAACTCCATCAAACTGTTAAAAAGATTGCAGTTCCGGAGGAAGGCTAAGTCATACCGCACCAAAATCTTGCCTTTTAGGTACTCTGTGTCTGGTTGGGGGAAAGGTAAGGACCTCTGTCTACTTCAAGGTGGGAAAACCGTAAACATTTGAACAGAGGCGCAAGGAAAGTACTTTGGAGGGGAGAAATTAATTAGAAATGACAAAACTACCCTACCGGTAGGACTTTGGGGCTAGCCATAGCCAAGGACTTTGGAAATGGACCTAAATGGGATAGGGAGTGAAAATCCCAGGATAAAATCACAACTGCCCTGGAGCCTCAAGTGCTGAAGAACCCCCTCCCCAAAAAAGTTGGTCAGGGTCTGTCTCAGCTTTGTCTTAATTCCATCAACAATCAAAGATACCGATACTTAGGGACACTTAGTCGACAAGCACACTGAAGGAGGGTGATGTTGAGACTAGACTACACAGGGCAGGGGAGAACTGGGGAGGTAAATTAGGAGACTACTAAAATAATTATTTGGGGAGATGATTTGGGTTTGGTCCATGGTAAGAGCAGTGGAGGTGGTGAGATGTTGAATTTTGGATACAGTTTGAAGGTAGGACCCACAGGGTTTGTGACAGATTGAGCATGGGGTATGAAAGAAAGAAATAAGTCAGGTACGACTCCACAAATTGTGGCTTGACCAACTGGAAGGATGGAGTTGCTATTTATTGAGCTGGAGAAAACAGCAAGAAGAGTAGGTTGTGGGGAAGGATAAGAATCCGAAGTTTAATTTAGGACACGTTGAGATACCTATTAGAGATCCTAATAAAGGTATACTATGGAAGTGAGGGGAAAGGTAAAATTTTTGTGTCATCGCCATATAAGATGGTTTGTAAAACCATGAAACTAGCTAAGGCCACCTGACAAGAAAGTGTGAACAAAGAAGAAAAGACGTCTGTGGCCTAAGCCCTGGGGCAACCCAACATTTTGAGTTTGGGAGACCACGAGGAAGCAGCCAGTGAGGTAGGAAGAGGACTAGAGATAGTTGTGTCCTGGAAGTCAAATGAGAAAATACTTCAAGAAGGAAGGAATGTGGTGTAGTATGCAAAGCTCGGATCTTGCATTTATAAACAAACAAAAACAATAAACTCTAACTGACTGAGCCTCTACTGGTAAGATATACTGTTACATACCTCACCTTATTTTATTTCTCCCAACATCCCTCTAAAATACTCATAATCACACATTTCAGATGAGAAAATTGAGTTGCCCAGAAGCTGAAGAAGTGGCCTAAGTTTTCATAACCAGTGAACAGTGGTGCCAAAATTGAAGCTCAGGCCTATCCTCCTACAAGTCTTTCTCCCCAAGACACCCTACTCCCAGCCAACTGGCTATCCATACACACTTCTTATCATTGTGGAATTAAAGAGATCTATGTATGAAATAGATTTTGTAAACTTTGATTTATGTAAAAAATTGGGCAAAAGGATAGCAATGGATTAATCTGAGAAAATTTGCCCAGGAGACACTAATGAATATGCTTTAGGAACTGACTAAAGAATAGAGACCAAGTCTGACCAAAATCCAAGTTCTTTCCCTCCCCCCCTCTTCAGACACCCTAGGAAGAAATATTCCTTCTGCCTGCTATACCTTCATAGATAAAAAGGGTAATAGTTGGTCAATATCAGTGGTTCTCAACCCCAGGGTGATTTTGCTCAAGAGAGCACTGGGCAATATTTGGAGAGACATGTTTGGTTGTCACAAAGTGGGGGTGTGTGTGCTTCAAATGGGCAGGGGCCAGGGCTGCTGCTAAAATTCCTTCAAAGCACACGACCGCCCCCCAGGACAAAGAATTATCTGGTGCAAAGTGTCACTGGTGCTGAGTTTAACAAATCACAGTCTACATGTCCAAAGGGAAAATGCTTACAATTAAATTCTTTATGTTATTGATGAATTATAGTGAACGTTGGAGAAAGTTGATATTATGTTTATATTAAAATGAGTAAGGTAATAAAGTAGACAATTTATTTTCACATGGTAACCTCTCTTTTTCACATGGTAACCTCTCTTTTTCAAATAGGGTAGACAGACTCTCTTTTTCAAATAGGGTAGACAGACTCTGGAAAGATGAGGGGAATTTGAGGAGAGCTTTGATCATTTATGTAACTAGGTTAAAGCAGAGCAATTCAACTCAGAGAAGATCAATGTAGGATATTAAGTATGGGAGTGAAGGAACATTACAAAAGGAATGTTTGCTCAAGGGAAAGAAATTGGGCTTTGTTCTGTTTTGCCACTTTCCTGCCTGGGATGCAGTATTTCAGGGCAGCAAACAAGTCAGTGTACACCGCTTCCCCCATAAAACCTGCCATTAATTAAGGAGCTAAGGGGGGCCTTTTTGCTAACATACTCATCAGTAGCATTTTCCTTTAAAATAAAGAAAAATAGTTACTCCTCTAAAACAGCAGCCAAGTTAAATAATATGTAGAATAAGTTATTTTGAAAAGAGAACTAGGAAAAAAATTGCATAGTATGCAGCTTCCAATCATTTGGGATATCTTTCTTTACTTCTAACTAAAGGAAGTGCTGTTGCTGCTCCATTCTTACTGTTAAAGAGTAAACCTCTATGTTTTGCAGCATCACTACAGTTACCCCAGAGGCCACAATTTCAGTAATCTTATACACCTTGGAATGGCATGGAACCCAGAGCATCCAAGGGGAGAAAAAGGTAAAAGTGTGTCCAATAGGAAAGAACAAAAGCTGACCTTGCACATCCAACTTAAAGCCATCAAGCCAAAACACTAATTGGATTTAGCCCAAGATGGCACTTGGCACTTAATGGTCTCTTGGTTTGATGTTCAGAAGGAATAGAGCCATTTCAGTGTCTTTAAAAAGTTGTAAAAGGTGAACCACGCCAGCATTCAAGCCAGGAGTTGTAGAGAAGTTTGAAGGAAGAGAAAAGAAACAAGAGAGGGAAATGGCAACCAACAAAGGCAGCAAGTGGTGGGTATTGCAAGTAGTAGCAGCAGACATTGACACTAGGAAAAACTTAGATGTGAGGGCAGATCCTAAAACTGCAGAGCTTAGCTTTGCTAAAAGCACAAACAGTAGAGCAATATCACAGGAGGTGGGGAGTGTGTGTGTGAGAGAGGGTATCAGGGAGTAAGCACAGGAGGGTTTAGGTGGCAGTGATAATGCCATTATTTAAATAACACATCATTTGCTAGTGATCTAGTGAGTAAAATGTTTCTCTGAGCCTTGTGAGCCACTCTAGCAAATTAATCAAACCCAAAGAAGTGGGGGTGGGGAGGGCATGGGAGCCTCTGATTATAGCCGGTTGGTCAGGAGTAGAGGTAACAACCCAGGCTTGCAACTGGCATCTGAAGTAGGCGGGGGAGGGGAGTCTTGTAGGACTGAACCCTTAACTTGTGGAATCTTATGTTATCTCTAGGTCAATAGTGTCAGAATTGAGTTGAATTATTGGACACCTGCTGGTGTCTGATAATTGCTTGTTGGTATAGGGAAACCTCTTCCCCACGTTGGAAATTGAGTCTTAGAACACTAAGTTAGAGAGGCTATGTCAGAATATGGTAATAATGTATAAGTACTCAGTGAATCTAAAGTGGCTGTATTGCCAAAGAATCATATTTTAGGGCTTGCAAGGGAACAATTCAGCAGAAACCTTCTTCCATATACAGTGCATCTCACTATATACGGAATATATGTTATTATAAAATACTGTATAAAGTATTCTTTAGGGATCCTTCAGGTTCTTTGTGTGTCTTTGGTTCATCTTAATTAAAATGCAATTTTTAGCTCATGAGTTATGTCATGTTTCCTTCCTGATGCCTGCTCCTGTCATGTCACAGTCGGACTTGGCCTTAGAAGGTGGAAGAACTAAGTGGCCAACCATGAAGCTGCAGCAGCATTCTCTAACTTTTGGGAAGTGCATGTCTGAGCTCATGGAATAGTTCTCAGGCAGTTTTATCATGACGGTGATATTAGACAGAAAGATTCCTGAGGGTAGACCCTGTGTCTGATTCATCTATCCTCAGAACCAAGAAATTTGCATGACATTCCTATAGATACGGTGCTGAGAAAATGGTGATCCAGGCAGCAGCGGGGTGGGGTGGAGGGGTGGTGTAGACGTTCAAAGGAGAGTTGTTTCTGGGACAGAATCACCTTGCCCAAAGCAAAGAGGTGTGAGCCAACAGGATGTTTGTAGAGTGGCTAACATACTCATCAGTAGCTCATACAAATCAGGAGCTCAAAAATGTCACTTTAATGAACAGAACCAGCCTGTTTGGGAGGTTTTCCAACTTCTACCAGAATAGACGCTGTTGGCCCCACGGCCATGGTGTTTCTGTAAAGCAAGGATATTCAGGATTGGGACATGTCTATTCCCTCTTCTCCCATGCCCAGGTGAGGCTGGCGTGGCGGGGAGTTGGGGAGGAAGCATGTCAAACTGCCAGGATGGTCCTTCCTGTCTCGGAGGCCAGGGCTCCGCTACAGCCAAAGCTACAGTAGCAGCATCTGTTCTGCTCTAACCTTTTATTTTTTCCTATGCGCTCCTCATTTGAGCTTTTAAACCGCCTTTAAAACAGGAGCAGCAATGGGCCTGCATGTGCCTTCAGCTGTTTCTAATTCTCTCCCAGACCCGTTCTCTCCCAATAAACGGCACATT